TTTGTCTGTAGAATAGCAGTTAAGCTGTGATACAGCGAAACAGGCTTGTATAGGGTCTCTCTCTCTCTCTCTCTCTCTCTCTCTCTCTATATATATATATATATATATATATATATATATATATATATATATATATACTCCAGGGTCCATAAAGTTCGTGTGCACATTAAAAAAAAATATAACTGTATTTGTATTTGCGATAAAAATAATCTGTAAAAAATGTTATAAAGTTTAATGTACCTAGTTTTAAGTATAGCTAAAATGACTAATGTGATTTCAGGCATTACTGTAAATCAATTGGAAAATGTTTTCCGTGAAATGCAAAATCGTATTGCCCTTTGTATTACTAATGATGGAGGACATGTAGAAACTTATTAAAATTTCGATAAAACTTTAAACAATATAGATTTACTTCTTTCTCATCCTTTTTATAATTTTTTAAAGTGCACACGAACTTTATGGACACCCTGTATATGAAACAATTTTATATTTGAAACAAAAAAGGTTGATGCTGAGCAGGCTCGGCCATTTCTGGAAGATATCTTTGCAGTTAATGCTCGATAGCAACCGATAGTGCTTTAACAATAACAAAATGAAATTATAATTAATTACAAATTCAATATATATATATATATATATATATATATATATATATATATGTGTGTATATATATATAATATATAGATATAGATAAATACACACACACACATATATATATATATATATATATATATATATATATATATATATATATATATATATATATATATATATATATATATATATATATACGAGGGACTGTAGATATATCAACAGGGTTAAAGTACGCAGAGTGGAGCCACTTTGCACACATCGATTTTAACCTCTATCGTGCTTATACACTAAGTATAACCTCGTCGCTATGGAAGTAAATCCAGAGAGAAATCCCGGAATAAAATTCCGAATGCGGTTGGTTGTCAACACTGACAATTTATCGCCAACTACTGCAGCTAACCCGGCCCGAAATATAATGCCTGTTATTCCTTTAGATCTTGTCGGTATGGCCGAGACAGAAACCATGTGGTCTCAGCGGTGCACAGCCTCCATATACACCCTTGTGCAAATTTATTGAAACAACTCTCTTATTTTCCTTTCTTTCACCAAACGGTCAGTTTTCGACGCACTGTTGTGAGGATTTTTTTTTTCATCAGATTTGGTCATTTGCAGTAGGGTGCAGTAATATGGACCTGTTTTCAGGGTGTATAATGAAATTTGTTTGGCATTGAAAATTTTGCATCATGCGTGATTGCATCCGATTTTCATTACGCCCAGACAATATTATCTCGACTGTCGATTAGTTGTCATACGGCCATTGTCCGCGAAGCGTACGAAAATTGTAATGATGCACGAATACAATGGCAAGCCTTACCAGTGAGCAAATCAAAGTACTATAGACTGGCCCAGAAACTCTCTTGATTAAAATCCAATCGAGAAATAAAGGTAAAACTTCGTGGAATGGACATACGAAATGCTAACATTTATACTGTAAATAACGACGGAATTATTTGTTTTGCTTCAATTAATTTGCACACACACACACACACACACACACATATATATATATATATATATATATATATATATATGCACACACACATATATATATATATATAGTGTTAATATAAATATGAGCTGATTGATGTCATATTCAACACCCCGACTACAAAGTTTTCTAGACGGACCGTTTACTAATCGCTCTGTTCTTCTCAGGAGGTATAGTGATTTTCCAAGCGTAACTCAGATGTGACAAAAGTAGGGGGCACGCAGTGAGAATCGAACTCACTACTCGGTTGTAATAGTTCTAGGGAGACAAGCTTGCTAACCATTACACCGTCTCGAGACGATCCTTCTCCGGATGTATAAGCAATCGATTGCTTATTTCATCAATTTCGTTAATTTTATAGTAAGTGAAGAAATAATTTATGCATTTCTATTGGTGTAAGGTTCATTTTTTTTTAAATTTTGTGTGTGTTTTTACATGTTTTTTTTGTGTCTGTGCATATGTTTGCTTATGTGCGTGCATGTACGTGTGTGTATGTATATGTCAGTATCTATAGAATGCTGTGATTATTTACATATATGTGTGTGTGTGTGTGTGTGTGTGTGTGTGTGTGTGTGTGTGTGTGTGTGTGTGTGTGTGTAGAAACACCCATACATGCATAAATTATTTAAGGCAGTTTGTGAAAGAGAAATGAAATCCCGGCTGACGATAATTACAATCATTAACACTGAATAAGTTAAAAGAAGGAGATTATTTTCAAGGTCGTTTACAGAAATGAAATATACGCCACCGTGATATCTACGCGTTTATGTCCTTCTATATCTCTGCCGGTGTCTTTGAAATTCCATAACTTGAAAATATATTGAGTATTAGAGGAAATCCTGAGAACAACGCTCTTTCAAATACTAAAACCAAAACGAGGCTACTACGGTCTAAACTGTTCTCTCTACATGTTAACCAGAATTAATGAGACAGTTTGAGAGCGGAAAAGAAAAATGGGTATATTTCTAATTAACTGTAAAAATAACAGAAAATGAGTTTCCTTTTGAAGTATTTTTTTTTCTCTCCAATTTTAATGAAGAATGTTTGTATCGCTTATCTCGCGTCAATTCTCTCACTTCGTCGCTGTTCTCCGAGGTCGACTTCAGTGATAACAATTCTGTCATTGCCACCAGAATTTTTTCCCTGACATCTGGCACAGTGAAAACAAATTACCCGGAACTCCATTACATGCAAAAGCAAAAAGTCAGATACTTAACTTCTTGCAATCTGCAAATATATTAAGGAAAGTTAATTCATTGTGCCATGCTAGACAATTTTTCTCCTCAAACTTACACATTTATAAGTCACTTGTATCACTGGCCACTCATATTCGAGGATATCCGTCTACTACGGCGGCTAGACAATCCCTGTTGCAGACGCATTTGTGTGCTTTCAACACTCGCTGAGCCCACCTCTGGTTTATACTGCAACTGAGCAGTTTCTGGGAAAGAGCGTGTTATCTACCGTGATCGACAATTTGAACAAGGCCAGCACGCTCAGGCGCTCGGTCACGATGACTTGTGATTTCGTGCTAGCACAGCTATCGACGACCCGCAAGGTCTCCGTCTACCCAATTTCACTCACAAGGCTTGGGTCAACCCGTGGTATGGTTTTTCAGGCCGCGAAGGTGCCACATGCTGGGATAAACCCATCCAGCCAGGAAGTCTTCTTCCGGAGAAATCTACCACGGTGAAATTCGAACCCGGGTCAGAATACGAATGTTATAACGTTCTAAACTAAAACTAACTAAAATGAATACAAGATGCAACTAAAACAGACTGACGTAATCAAGATGTTGACCTTCCACTCTACCTTAAGCATAAGTTTAGAAAGTGCACATAAGTCTCTTATATACGTTGAATATTGCTACAGCAAATTGTCTGGTGGTTTTGTTAAGTATTTAGAGATTCGTAAAATTAACCCCGATCCCCAATTCTCAACAAAAAAGATGGGATGAAGCAAAATCATATTCTGTTCATATACAGGATGCGGACATAATTACCTCTCATATAATGGTAAGACATTAGTTATATGAAGACACCACCGCCACTAACGTCTTACCATTGTGTGTGGGGTGGATTTCTGCGAGAGTGGGGATATGTGGATAATATTTCTATCGCATCCTATAGTTGTCCAGGAATTTATCTTTGTCTATATGACTGCATTATGCAGGCTTTTCTGGTTATTTTCAGTACTTCTAAGCGAGATACACAGCGAGAACCGAATTCACTATACTAGCAAATTTAATATATAAAGAATTAAAGGTCTTTAATGGGAAAAAAAATTATAGAATAAATATTTTTTTTTCATTTTGTAATTTTAGAAAATGTTATTGGCGCTTGGTAATCACTTGTCCTTTTTTAGAAAATTCTTTGAATAGAAAAGATGTACGTGTCCTGAATGAAATAGTAACAAGAATATTCTTATTGAAAAGAAGCTATTTTCCATTGTTGGAAAAGATAATTCTATTAGGCAGAGCCACCATTTTCTTTTAACGCTTTAGCGTCAGACAGTAATCAAAATTTGAAAAGAGTTTTAATGAACCAGTTTCACATAGAAACGATAGTGAAATCAATATAAAGATCCGTTCGATAATACTGAAAACTGAATATTATTTGAATTTTTTTTGTATTGGTTTGAAGTTTATTTAAAGACAGAAAATATTTTTTAGATTGTATGAATATTTTTTTTGGTAGGGAGATAGTAATGATTGTAGTGATACAATTCTTACTAATTGGGCACCTCCAGGTGGTGTAATGGTTAGCAAGTTTGTCTCGCTAAAACAATTACGACTGAATACTGAGTTTGATCCTCACTGGGTGCCCCATACTTCCGGCCTTGTGCCACATCTGAGCTACGCTTGGAAAATCACTATAGGAGGACCGATTGGGAACGTCGAGGAGGTGTAATGGTTAGCAAGCTTGTCTCGCTAGAACAATTACGACTGAATAGTGAGTTCGATCCTCACTGGGTGCCCCATACTTTCGGCCTTGTGCCACATCTGATCTACGCTTGGAAAATCACTATAGGAGGACCGATTGGGAACCTCGAGGTGGTGTAATGGTTAGCAAGCTTGTCTCTCTAGAACAATTACGACTGAGTAGTGACTTTGATCCTCACTGGGTGCCCCATACTTTCGGCCTTGTGCCACATCTAAGCTACCCTTGAAAAATAACTACAAGTCTTACTAATTAACCAATACTTAAGGAAAAAGATTTGTATTCGTACCATTTCCGAGGGTATTTGGAATTAGAATTCGACTCTCCTATTAACAATCCCGAGCCATTATCCATTACACCACCCGCCCAACGAAGCATACAGTACCTGGTATACCCTAGCGGTCATCCACCATACTCAAACCCTTGTTTCAACGTGATATAGCCATAAAATCTTTATATCAGTCGCACATCTAAGCTCACTGCACCTAGCTATTCCCAAGCGGTCACCCATCTAGGTACTGACCAGGCTCAACGTTGCTTAACTTCGATGACCGTACGGAAAACGGCGTTTCAGCGTATATGGCAACAAACCACCCGTACACTTACTGCACCTGATATTCTCAAGAGGTCACCCATCTAGGTACTGACCAGTCTCAGCGTTACTTAACTTCGATGACCGTCCGGGAAACGGTGTTTCAGCGTATATGGCTATAAACCAGCCTTACACTTAAGCTTACTGCACCAGATACTCCTAAGCGGTCACCCATCTAGGTACAGACCAGGCTCAATGTTGCTCAACATCGATGATCGTACGAAAACCGGTCTTTCAGTATATATGGCAATAAACCACCGGTACACTTAAGCTTACTGTACCTGATATTCTCAAGCGGTCACCCATCTAAGTAATGACAAGTATCAGCGTTGCTCAACTTCGATGATCGTACGAGGACCAGTGTTTCAGCGTATATGGCCATAAACCCTTTATATCACCCGTACACCTAAGCTCACTGTACTTGATATTTCTAAGCGGTCACTCCTCTAGGTACTGACCAAGCTCGACATTGCTTAACTTCGGAATCGGTGTTTGAACGTGTTAGGTTGCAAACAAGGCGCTGGCTTATACTTAACATCAGGAAGAAGCAGCTGAAGTTTCTGAGACACATAATGAGAAAGAGGGGCCTGGAGAATGTGATAGGAGGGCCTGGAGAATGTGATAGGAGGGCCTGGAGAATTTGATACTCACAGGTCGAATAGAGAGAAAGAGAGGCAAGGGAAAACATTGCGTGAGATACCTGGTGGACTTAAGCAAGTGGATGACAGATCGTGGTCTGGGGGAGGAAGCAGAGAGAAGAAACTTGTTGAGAGCTGCAAGGAATAGAGTGATGTGGAGAGCCATGATCACCTACGTCCTGAAAGAACATGGCGCATAAAAATAAAGAGAGATGGTCGTAAGAATTATCACGTAATTATATTTCTGGTAAAATTAACTTTCAAACAATGGAATATTGATTGCTGAAAAGTAGCTTCAAATGGAGTTCCTGGCAGATCTTTCGGATCATTATTCGCTGAATGTTTCGCTTATAAATAAGAAAACGATTAATTGTCCGGGCGATCGATTTTTTTTAATCAATATTTCTTAATGGATGAACAGTCGTTAATAGATTTCCCATTTATGGTAGCCCCATTAATTCTTCTGACAAATAACAATTGATCTCCAAAGAAAAGTCTTTGTAAAAGAAAATGTGAGCAAAAACAAGAAATGATTTAAGAAATAGTTTTCAAAGCAGATGAATATATAATATAGCAGAGAGATAAACATCTTAAGATGAAATGAAACAGTGACAAAAGACTGACTCTGATGATTCAGGTGAAGTTTATATTAATTAATTCTTAACTTTGTCACAAAAAGCAAGACTACTTTTATTCTGCTTTGTTCCATATACAAGCAGTATGCTTTTCTATCAACGATTAAATTGTGATATTTACCACGATACATCAGCGCCATTTTAAATAAGGTACGCTTTCTGAACAAGAATCTATTCTATTATTCTGTTTATTAGTTTAGACAAACGGTATGCTTTTCTATCAACGATTAGATTATAATATCTACCACGATATATAATTGCCATCTTAAATAAGGTACGCTTTCTAAACAAGAATCTATTCTATTATTCTGTTTATTAGTTTAGAGAAATGGTATGCTTTTCTATCAACGATTAGATTATAATATCTACCACGATATATAATTGCCATCTTAAATAAGGTACGCTTTCTAAACAAGAATCTATTCTATTATTCTGTTTATTAGTTTAGACAAACGGTATGCTTTTCTATCAACGATTAGATTGTAATATCTACCACGATATATAATTGCCATCTTAAATAAGGTACGCTTTCTGAACAAGAATCTATTCTATTATTCTGTTTATTAGTTTAGAGAAATGGTATGCTTTTCTATCAACGATTAGATTATAATATCTACCACGATATATAATTGCCATCTTAAATAAGGTACGCTTTCTAAACAAGAATCTATTCTATTATTCTGTTTATTAGTTTAGAGAAATGGTATGCTTTTCTATCAACGATTAGATTGTAATATCTACCACGATATATAATTGTCATCTTAAATAAGGTACGCTTTCTAAACAAGAATCTATTCTATTATTCTGTTTATTAGTTTAGACAAACGGTATGCTTTTCTATCAACGATTAGATTGTAATATCTACCACGATATATAATTGCCATCTTAAATAAGGTACGCTTTTTAAACAAGAATCTATTCTATTATTCTGTTTATTAGTTTAGAGAAATGGTATGCTTTTCTATCAACGATTAGATTATAATATCTACCACGATATATAATTGCCATCTTAAATAAGGTACGCTTTCTGAACAAGAATCTATTCTATTATTCTGTTTATTAGTTTAGAGAAATGGTATGCTTTTCTATCAACGATTAGATTATAATATCTACCACGATATATAATTGCCATCTTAAATAAGGTACGCTTTCTAAACAAGAATCTATTCTATTATTCTGTTTATTAGTTTAGAGAAATGGTATGCTTTTCTA